AAAAAAGGTTAAAGTAGAGTAAAGTAGAAGAAAAGAAGAAAATAGAGAGAAAATAGTAAAAAGCTACGCGCGTAAAAGTAGAGTTAAGAGTAGTAATTACTATACGTAAAAAGAAAAGTTATAATATTATTATTTTAATAGTCTAGTTACTAAGCGCTAAAAAGCTTTTAAGTAAAAAGTAAAGTAACTAGTATATAGGTTCTAATAGTAGTATAGTATATATAAACCTTCTAGAATATCTTTATAAATACACTAGTAATATAATAAAAATAGTAGAATATCTATTAGAAAAAAGACTAATATTATAAAGAGTTAAGAGCTAAATAGATAGGCGCTATAGAAAAGTAAAGGTTAAACCTAAGAAAGATATAAATTTAAGCCTAAGAGATTATTAGCTACTAATATTAAAAGTAATTAAGATAAGATTTAGAATATACTAGAGAAATAAAGAAAGAGGCTATAAATAGGTAGAAGAGATTAAATTAAAATAAGAAGAGTACTAAAGAGAGATATACTAGAATAGAAATAGTCTAAAAAGATTTTATATTTAGATTTCTAGATAGAAGTTTAGTATATAGTATATTTAGATTAAGTAGATAGAATCTAGTAATATAATAAGTAGAAGAGAATATCTAAGAGCTATTCTCTCTTTTATACTTAAGAAGAAGAGAAGGCCTTCTTCTTAAGTATAGAAGAGATATAGTAGTAAAACTAGTAATATAATAATAAGCTAAATAGCTATTAGGCTTAAGAGTTAGTACGCTAAGAAAAGCTAGGTCTAAATAGTGTTTAGATAATAATAATAACTATATATATATAATATAATTAACTATATTAAGTATCTATTCTAATAAAGATACTTCTAATCTCTCTACTATATTACTTTTAAGACTTTGCTAAGAGAGTAAACTTTATATTAAGTAACGTTTATATTAGCTCTAATATATAGAGTAAAACTAACTAGTAATAGTTAGCTATTAATATAATATAACTTAAGTAGCTAATAAAGATAACTACTCTATTATAGCTTAGTTCTTAAGAGTAACTATAATAGTAGAACACTAATATAGCTACTATTTATTTAATAGTATTATTATACTAAAAGTAAGCTTTAAATACCTTATTTTCTTTAGTCTATTTATTATTACTCTAGCTAAGAATTTTAATAAACGTCTTACGCTAGTATATAATAGCTATCTTTATTTCTATAAATAGAGTTATCTATAGCCTAATTTTATATATAAAGTTATAAGTATAGATAGTATAAATAATTAATAAATTACTCTAAGTAGAAAGAGTAATACTAGTAATATAATAACTATTTTATTACTTCTTTTAGAGTAGGTATAGTTTATAAAAAAACTTTTATATATTACTAGTAAGTTACTTAAAGGCTTAGCTATAATAAAAAACTATAAAAAGTCTTAGTCTACTTATTAAAAGCCTTTATAGTAGTAGTATAGTAATTTTAATAGTATTAATAGTATTAATAGTGTTAGTAGTCTTAGAATATAATATAGAATAAGTTAGGTAGGCTTTAAGAGCTCTAATAATAGCTTTTATAATAGCCTTAATAATAGTCTATATAATAATCTTTAGAATAGTCTAACTAAGAGCTTTCTTTTTAGTAGTAGTCTTAAAGTAGTTTATAGAAGCTTTAATAAGTAACGTAATATAGTATAAGAATATAATTAATATAGGTATAAAAGTAAGTAATATAACTAGTAATAAGATTAGCTTTAGACTTACTAACGCTAAAAGAACTTATAAAAGAGTAGTAATATAGTTAAGAGCTTATTTAGTATACTAGTATAGCTTTAGTATTAGATTTAAGCTACTATTTACTTTAATAAGTCTTTAGATCTCTAATTTACTATAAGCTATAGAATAAAAATAAGAATAGAGATAGAGATAGAGAATAGAGAGTATATATATAGTAAAAGTATAATTTTACTTACTAAATATTTTAGTATTTTATTACTTTATAATTTATAGCTTAGTTAGTTATAAGCTATTAAGAATATATAATTATATTATAATTCTCTCTACTATAGTATAGGTAAATATTAGTATTTATAGAATAGTTACTTTACTACTCTAAATTTTAAAAGCTTTAACTACTACGCTAGAAGTAGTAGCGCTAAGAACCTAAGCCTTAGTCTACCTAATATCTACACCTCTAAACGTAGAATTTTAACTCTTTTTAAAATATATCTTTTTATATACTAGTAATAGACCTTACTCTTTTTAAACTAGCTTACTATAGAATTATTAGCTTACTAATAAATATAACTTCTTTATTTTTAGAGTTATACTATAACTTTTTATAAATAAAATATTTAAATTTAAAAGCTTTATAAATCTTTAATATAAAGCTAAGCTTTATATTTTAAAATAAAATAGATATTTTATATATAAAAAGTTATAGTATAACTCTAAAAATAAAGAAGTTATATTAAGAATACTACTTTTTTATATAGTAACTACTATATATTTACCTAAACGCTAGTAAACTAACTAATAGTAGTAGTATAGCTTTAGTATTAGATTTAAGCTACTATTTATATCTTTAATAAGTTTTAGATCTCTAATTTACTATAAGCTATAAAATAAAAATAAAGATAAAGATAGAAATAAAAAATAAAAAGTATATATATAGAAGTATAATTTTACTTACTAAATATTTTAGTATTTATTATTACTTTATAATTTATAGTTTTATTAGTTATAAGCTATTAAGAATATATAATTATATTATAATTTTTTTTACTATAAGTAAATATTAGTATTTATAAAATAGTTACTTTACTACTTTAAATTTTAAAAGCTTTAGCTATACTAAAAGTAGTAGTACTAAAAACTTAAGCTTTAGTCTATTTAATACTTATACTTTTAAATATAGAATTTTAACTTTTTTAGAAATATATCTTTTTATATACTAGTAATAAACTTTACTTTTTTTAGACTAGTTTACACTATAGAATTAGTTTACTAATAAAAAACTACTTTTTTAGAGAGTAGCTAAATAGTGTTAGAAGGCAGCTAAAAAAGTTTTGTCTTCTTTTTAATCTCTTACTTATTATTTTATTACTGGCGAGGAGTGGCTTACAGTATCAATAAGTCGTTGGGCCAAGCTAATTCTACGTAGGTGGCCTGGCGTCTCTTCCGTTCTAATAACCCCCCGTCCTTGTGCCGAAAAGAGCTATCCAACCCGGGCTTTGGTAGACTCTCCGAGGTCCAGGATCGATAGCGGCCATTCGGTTTCGCTCCTCAAGCCGCGCCCTCAGTTCCAAATCATGCTTCGGACAATCCTCAATGGGACACTGCTCCCCCATATGCTCGGCAGAACAGAAAAACTCTTCAGGGTCGGAGTCGCCCTCTGTGTAAGACCCTTGGTACTCCCATCGATCATCCACTTTCGCCCACTCCATTTCGCGGGTATGCCTGTCCTTGGTGCGTGAGACAGCAAAGAAAGCGATGGGCTTTTCGCCCTCGCCTCCGACCAAACATGCAGGTATGCTGAGACAGAGATAACCGTTTCCCAGGAATCGAAGGCATCGCTCGGGAATCCCCGGCTTATTGTAATACAAGGTCTCTTCTAAAGCGACTGGAGAAGGAACACTAATCTTTGGTATGTTAAAGTTCAGGCACGGCGTTTCGGAAGGATAAGGCATTTTGAACACCAGCTCATACCCAGGTTCGCCAACGCAATCTCGTATCAAAAGCTTCCCGCGTTGGAGGTGTAGGTTCTTGGTTTCCATGTCCGTGATGTCTTCACAGTTGTCTTGCTGCATCTGATGGTGCACATCGGAGTAGAGAGCCCATTCGCCTTTGACGTCTCCCACGGGATGTTCTCTGCCTTGTGCGATCTCTTTGTCGACCCATCGAACCAGGGCCCATCCCTTGGCGATGTATTCTTGGTGCTTCTTGAGGGCGAGTGCCCTCTTCTCTTTCAGGTAATTCGCGAATACACGCGGATCTGGCGGAAGCTCCTCGTACACATTCATCTCGTCCTCGGGTATGTCATCCTCAGCGGCATGAACTCCAGGCATACCGTCTTCAGAGATGTCGTCCTCGGGCACATCGTCTTCGACTCCAGACATGTCGTCCTCGGTCGAAATGTCTCCGTCCAATCTGTCCGAGTCGCTTTCTCCTGGTCTTATCACGATCCTACCCCTAGGCGGGTTGTTTCTCCGGTCTTCCAACTCTGCTTCTATGTACCGTGCCCAAGCTTGTCTTGGACTGTCTCCTTCGGGCTCGGGCTCAGGCTCGTCGGCTTCGGCGTACATTGCAATAATCTGCGTTGCAAGAAACTGCTGGACTTGCTCTTGTGATACCGGTTCCTTGCCAACATCATTGTTTCCCCAGAACTGCTCGTCACAAAGCCTGACTAGTACCTGCTCTAGATGCACGAGTAGCTCCTCCGGAATGCCCTCATCTAGCAGGCAATCGTGCATTGCGTCCATGAAAGCTTGGTAATCCGGATTCCAGGCTTTTATACGACCGTAAGACTGTACTGCTTCGGCATAGTGTCTTACAGCGTCTTGGTAGCACATGATGCGCTTCAATGTAGCTTCTGCGCCGCACCCAGCATTGGTCCATCGTTCATCGATTCCTGTAATACATCAGTACCGATCGCGCAAGACACTGAACTATGACGTACGGTCTATGAAGGATTTCAATTCTTCGCTTGGGCTCATAAACACTTCTCCTATCGCTACCGTCGTGGTTAGTTTTGCGCCAAGACAACGGTACCTTGCCAGACTCACCATTTGGGAATGCCATGTTGACGTCAGAAAATACGTTGATCTGGGTATGTGGCGTAGCTGTAACAGAAGTGCAATTCGAAATGTGACGTTGCGACGCGTTTTGCGTGGCCAGAAAAGGCTCGGAACGGTGTCCATGGTTACGGAAAGGGGCTGCACTAGCCGTCTTTGACTCGCCGCATTAAAAAAAAACGGTCCACTATTTCGACGAACAATGTAAGATACAACCATTTATTAAAACTCGGGGTTCAATGAATCGAAGTGCGTACAATGATCCGGACGGTCCGAACATTCGCTACGACTATCTTCTACAGCGCCGGTAGGCGGGTTGTACACCAGCCCATGAGGTGTCTTTTCCCACCACTTTCTTCTAACGGGGCCATGCCTTCGATGAGGATCAAAGCGTAGTGGATGATCAGCGATAGCGTAGAAGTCGATGAAACCATCTTCTCTGCTTCCTCCGATCTTGTGAGCCTGAATGCGTATCTTCATATGCCCATTTTCAACAAAGCATATTCGAAACTTCAGTTCCCGCATCAAGGTTTCGTTGGAGATAATAGCGTTGCGTTGGTTAGAGTTTACAACGCCTTTCTTCAACTTCCATGCAAAGTCGCCTTCCCAGTCGTCTTCCAGCGCCGAAAGATGCAGGCTGCCCCCAGAAGACCCGTCGTCCCTCCGGCCGTATGCTGTGAAGTTGCCGCAACCGGCGCCGTGGAAACATTTATTATCAGTTCGCATGCCTCTAGCGACGAGCATGTCGAGATATGAAGTAGAGTAGAGGCTCCAATTGAGAACGTCGACATAGTCTTCCAGGTTTGTTCTGCGTGCTTCCATGCTTTCGACGGTCTCTTCCTCTCCTGAAGCAATGCGTTCCTCAAGCCATGCTTCAATAGCCTTGCCACGCACTTCGTGCTTCGCGTGTTTTGCTCGTGCCTTGTTGTAATCGCTGTACAAAAGATCGTCGTCGAGATCGCTATCGCTGTCTGTGGTGTCTTCGTCGCTGGGCTCAGTTGTCTCAGGGTCGCTGTCCTCGAGACGCTCAATGAGTCCGCTGTCTCTTCCGGTTATTTTACTCGTTTTGATGCCGTAGAACTCAATATCTTCCCTTATCGTGTAGAATGGTACCGCCTGGGCTCTCATACTCAAGTAGCCGTCGCAGAGGAAGAGGAGAGTAATTCGCATTGACTCTTGGTTTGCCTCCTTCTGTTTCTGCGATGCACCTCTGTAACGAACCTGAGATTCGTCACAGAATTTTACTGAGATCTCTTCAAGTGCAGGTATTTCGAGATCTGGCCACGATCCACTAAATTTAACCTGCTCTTTGAGGCAGGTCTTCGGGCCTAGCTTGAACCACAAGTTCGCCTTGACTTCAACGTCGTCTCCTTGTCTCGAAATTTTCTCGATGTACAATCGACCGGGCGCATCGTCATGGTTCCAACCATCGTGAATACAATTTCCATCCTCATCGGTGGTATCCCGGATGAAGCTCTTCTCTGTAAGAATGTAAGTCCCGAGTTTCAACGGAACCAAGGGCCTGTGGCCTTGCTGCAGCTGTTGATTAAGCCGTGCTTCGATTTGCCGGATGCCGCGCTCCGTGCAGTCGTCGCCATCGTCTTGATCTGGATTCTCGCCACTAGGAAAACTAGTAGCCTTGCGATTCTTGAGAATCTGCCGAATTATTTTGCGATTTTTCTTTTTATGACGGAGGTGTTCGGGTAACTTGCGTAGCTCCACCTGCTCACGCTCCTTTCTTGATATAATGCGCTTGTCCATGATGCAAAGCGCAGACTGATAATCGCCTACCGGATAAAAATGTGTTGTGGTCGAAGTCAAGATGGTGTGAAAAGACCTGCGGATGTTACGGCTGGGAAGGTGCTCACCGTGCACGTCATCACCTGATTGGTCTAACTCGATCAGGCTAGGGCTGCCTCCAGACATGCTACCCATACCTGGGCATGCACCTTTGTGTTCTCTTCGAGAGCTTGTGCTTTTTCAGATGCAATACAGTTGCTCATATCTCTCACCGCCAGTTTGCACAGTAAGAAGAGACTTACATAAGTTTGCTTCTTTTCAATTTGGAGAGAAGAAAGTTCACGGATGCCAACCGAGGTAGAAACGAAACGCATCAAGTGACCAGCCCCTCCGGTGTCTCCTCCCACCATTCCTGACCAGATGCCTCGCGCTTATAGATCATTGGTATCTGAGATATCCTGAGCAATAGCGTAGAAACTGTGAACATCATGGCCGTCGTAATTTACTCTCAAATACCCATCTTCGAGAAAGATCAATGTCATGGGCCAGGGAGGCCGCACGCTGTGCACCCCGAGATTCTTGGTGGCCCTAGACAAGACCACAGGCACCTTTTCGAGCGCAGGTACCCTTGAGTTTGGCCATGAGCCCGTAAAGCTTCCTTCCCAAACGCCAGTCCCGTCTGGTAAACAGACGCTTACTTCCACCTCAACCTCATCGTCATGGCTCAGTACCCTCTTCAGCTGCAATTGGCCTTTCTCATAGCCGTCGATTGACTCATGGTATAACTTCTTTCCAACCCTGGTCATGAGATCGATGTAGTAAGTTGAGTACAGGATATAGGTCGTTGGACGGAGAATTGTGAAGGCCTCCTGGCCTTGCCCAAGCGAGCGAGATAGCTATGCTTCGATGTCGCGTACCTCCGCCTCATACTTCGAGTGTTTTACGATTGCATGTCTGTAGGCGCGAAACTTTGGATCGAGCCCCTTCGGCTCCGGGTACCTTGTTTCGTTTGGCGGCATAGAGACGGATGGTCGGCGTTCTCGTCCTTCGTTCAGGAAAAAATCAGAATAACAATACACATTAAAGAGATCTGCGAAATTGGTTCCATCAGTTTGCGCAGCGAGAAGGGAGTTAAATACTTTCGCTGCCCGTAAGGTTGGGGTGAAGGAAGTGCTGACTAACTAACCAGATCCAGTTTAATGCAACGCGTCGCGGTCGCCCTGAGGGCCGATTACCATACAAACTACGATCTATAACAACCAAATGATAACGATCAACCCCCTCAACCAGGATTTGAGTATCGAAACAGCGTTTCTTGATCCGCCCATACTCTACGGAGATCAGCTACGAACTCCTTCTCTTCAACCGGGACTTGAGCATCGAGACGGCGTTCTCCGGTACCGAAGATACTCTACGGATCTCAATCTACCAACTTCGTCTTGTCAACATGAAACATCTTAAGTATTGCCTCGTATGCTTCGTCGAAATCGATCTTGTCAACCTCCTTCTGCATCTTCTCCCTGCCTAAGACAATCTCTTTAGCAATGCTTGGCCAGTCGAGAGTATCATGACCGATCATCTCTTTCGCGTCGCTGTCTACATGCACTGGCAGCAGCTTCCCATCCTTCTTCCTTACGATACCATCCACAATGACAGTCTCGATATCGGCCGGGCTGGAGTGTAGGATGATGGCGGCGACTGGATCATGTTGCGCGGCGCCGACCATACTGGGGCTCAGAGCATCGAAGATGACCAGATCTGCCTTGTAGCCTTCCGCGATGCGCCCAATCTCGCTGCTCATGTTCGCAGCCTCTGCACCCTTGATAGTTGCTAGGTTGAATGCGGCCTCGACACTGAGGCTATCGGGAAGTGCTCGTGGAATCTTGTCTTGTTTCATAATGTGTTCGTTGTAATGGTTTCGCGCATTGCCGAGACCGAGTTTCGCTTCAGCGATGATAGAGCCGGCAGTGGCGGAATGGCAATCAACACCGAGCGCGGCATTGTCCTGCAGCCCGATCGAATCCCCGCTTACACCTCCATCTGGGAATGAGGCGTCGAAGCAGTAGGACCTCCCCATGGCCATCTGGAGCTCTGAACTCGGGGTGGAACTCACAAATGCACTAGCGGCCTTCAAAAGCTCAGCGTCAGCCTTGACAATCGTACCACCGTGCGAAACGATAATCTTCTCATCGAGTAGACCATGCTCCGATGCTGCTTGTATCACACTACCTCCTAGCGATACAGAGCCGTGGGTGGTAATAGTCTTGACACCTTTGGCATTCACCCTGGCGAATATGCCTTTGATCATATCTGCAGGCAGAAACCAAAAGTCGAACGCGAACCCCAGCGTTACTCTTCCGTCTCCGAAAGGCCCGTTATCGGCGAGTTCTTCGAAGGTGTTCATGACCCAGTCCTCGAAGAGGTTTGGATGCCAGGTGAGGGGATTGAACTGCTTGACGAGCGAGATTGGGGTGTAACAGAACACGGAACGCATGCCAGAAGATGCAGTACCTGCGATAGCGGCTTTGGCGTGTTCTGGTGAGCGGGTTATATGTGCGTGCTCAACTACCGTGGTTGTGCCAGCTGCAATGCTTTCCAGTAAACTGGCAAGCTGGCCGTAGAAGACATCTTCGGGCGAGTACTGGAAAGACTGCGAGTTGCCTGCTCTTTGTCAAAAGAAGATCCTGTGGTTCCACGTGAAGCCGTACCAGTCACCATGTAGTCCAGTAGCTGTTCGTTGGCATGCCTGCCTTTGAGCTGCGTTTGCCAAGCATGACGATGAGTATCGATGAAACCTGGGCTGATGATCTTGTCGGTGCAGTCGATAGTCTCAGTTCCCTCAGATGGTTCGATATCATGTGCGATTCTTGTGATCTTGCCGTCTTCGACAAGAACATCGGATTTGGTGGGAACGACGTGGTTATTTGCATCATGAATCAGAGCGACACCACCCCGGAGAAGAAGGGTTTTGGAAGCCATCGCACGAGTCGCCAGGCCTGTGTATAGTTGTCGCGCTTCCACCATAGCTCAATTCCAGAGGTTATATACCTCGCTCGTTACCTTGCATGTCGCATTACGCCCCGGTCAGGGCTGAGGTCATCGTTGCTTCCTTTGACCCCTCACTCCGCTTTAATCGGCACCCGTGGACGCATCAAGAGCGAGACGCGACTGTCCATGGCGTTAAGGCTTCACCGAACGACGAGAAACGGAGTTTAGAGTATCAGTCAGCTGTGCATCTAGATTTACCTGCATTTTGCCCTATCAACAGGACACACATGTTGTCGCGTGTTGCAAGCTGAGGTCAGCGTCGCGTGTTGGTTTTCGCGAAGGGTCGATGACGTAATCTCGTGATGGCTTCAGCGCTTCATCGCGGGCTTCACGCGAGACTGCTTCTCCGGCATCAACTATGGAAACACCAGCATCATGTCTATCCACGACGGAGTCGGATCTTGCACAATTTTTGAATTCGCGTGGAGCTACATTTGCGCAGCATCTCGCACGCGCCTTTCACAGCAGACGGCGCCTTGGTTCGCAAATGTACTGACATTCGCCAGATCACGCATTATTGATCTTCAAGTGCGCTACCAAGCTCAGGCACGCCATGATTCACCTCTTTCATTACTACAACGACTCCCCTCGAACGAACACCACGATGACTTCGAGTCCTCTCTCCTTACGGGCGTCCATTGCCCGACTAGGGGGTGACCGACATGAACCCCCATAAGGACAAAAGCCAGCCCGTCGTAGTCGGCCATCCCACGTTCTTACGAACTCCAGACCCTCCTCGGCGATATACATACGAAGGTGCATAGGGCTGGGAAGGCCAGACGTCCGGGATGAAACGCCACTCGGTTCATCAACCCTCACGAGGGTGTGGCCTCATGCTGCGTCGGAATACCCGCAGATCATGCAGACTCCGTACTGTTCCAGACTCTCGGCTCGTGCTTGCTGGAACCCATGTCGCCGGTCCTGGTTGCATGCATTATAGCGTGGCAAACCAATGCTATCCAAGCATCTTGGACAACTACACATCGTAGCACGCGAGCTGAAGAGGCGACACGGGCTGGTTGTAGTGGCATTCCGCTAGGTCGGAAGTGCGGGCGTAGCTGAACGGTTGCTTCTTCTTAAAGAGCGTGTCGATTCACTGGCCCGCGCGAGTGTGATACATGCCTCAGATGGCGTGCTACCACGAAGTCGATTTGCATAGCCTAAGCGATTCAGGTAAGATTTCAGCTGGAAAGTACGCGCATGGGTGATCTCAACCCGATACCCTGGTCGTACAGCATCTGGAGATGAATCTGGCGCTTATCACGCTGCAAATGAGGCTGGAACCTTACCCAGATTACCGATTCCGAATGTGGCTTTGCGGAGACCCTTGAGTTCTGAACCACGTCCAAGAGCTCAGCAATGAGATTGCATCTTATTCCGTTTTTGCACACAAAAACTACCTTCTTAGCTGATGTTTCCATCGAAACATCGGATTGATTTCCACATTCAGGCGGAACGTCCCGAATCTTTCGAAGATACACAAAAGGGCGCGCTTGCATGCTCGCCATTTGTTTCAGTGCATTAGGCTTTCACACCTGCCGGCCTGTGTGACAGCCTACTTACAGCGCCGTCTTTCGGGCGCTAGTGCGGCTGCAGTAGACCTGTCCAGGTAAGCATCGCATTCGGTGCCAATGCCGCCAACCGAGATGTCGCAATACTTGGCATCAATTGCGAACGTTACGCGAATAGTTCCCACCAGATGTCAGTCTGTTGAGATAATGCAAGGCTGGGCATGTCCACCTTTCTTCCTCTCGTTGGTAATCTCTTGTTGAAGAACTCGAAGATAACTAAACAAAGAGGTAACTGCACAGATTGGTTGCACGGATGATGTTTAGGACATTGTAGGTGTACGCTAGCCATGACCAACCAGCGACCCCAGATCTCCCACGCGATCCGCCAACGCCTCAAACGCCATATCTCCGCCTTCGGAAGCCCAGACCTCACAAGCTCAACGCTTCGCTGAGCCCAGCCTG